GTAGGCCCCGCCCCTTGCCAGCGCCTCACCCACCGCAGCCCCCTTGTCTGATGCAATTCGCTTCCCCCCTTGCTCGCGGCCTCGGGCCAATCACGGACTCTCCCGGCCGCGGCGTCACACCTCGCAGCCAATGAGCGAGAGCCACGATGGTAGAAATCCGGGCGGGGCGGCACGGGGCGCAGTCGGCCGCGCTGGTGACGCCGGGCGGCGTGTCCGCTGTCCTCTCGTGCCGCCATGGCAGCGCTGCCCGGTGCCGCGGCCCCGCGCCTGCTCCTCATCCCTAGCAAAGCGGCCGAGGCTCCCGGCCCCGCGGCTGCCCGGCATCTCTCCGTTGTCCTGCCGGCAGGAGCCGACCCCGGCCTCCCAGGGATGGAGGCCACGCAGCCGGCCCGCAAGAGGCAGCGGCTCACGCATCTGAGCCCGGAGGAGAAGGCGCTGCGCAGGTGAGTGGGGGACAGCGGTGAGAAGGCTGCGGCTGTACTTGATGGGTACGAGATCTCCCGCTGACGGCCGCTCTACCCCACAGGAAACTGAAGAACAGGGTGGCGGCCCAGAGCGCCCGCGACAGGAAGAAGGCGCGGATGACAGAGCTGGAGCAGCAGGTGGTGGAGCTGGAGGAGGAGGTAAGGGGCTGGGAGAGATGAGGAGTTAGAAGAGGGGGAAGAATGGAGCGGCCTCCCTGCCTCACGGCTCTTTGCAGAACCAGAAGCTGCTGCGGGAAAACCAGCTCTTGCGGGAAAGGACGTGTAACCTCGCGCGGGAGAACCAGGAGCTCCGCTGCCGCCTGGGTTTAGATGCTCTGAAGACAGAGGAGGAGGGTGACGAGTTCCAGGTAAGCCGCGCTGCTGCCGTGTCCGCCCCCGCCTTGGCAGAGCTGCCCGCTCTGCAGCGTCGGTGTTCAGGGCAGGGATTTGCCGGAAATACCTTTGTCCTCCATATGGAAGCTCTCCTGAAACTCAACAGGTGCCAAGTCGAAATGGGTGCTACTGGTAATGTGAGAGGTAGAAAGATGACTAGTTTTAAGACAGTTTTATCTGGTTTTCTACGTTTTGTTGTAGAAGTGAAGTAGAAACTGTTAAAGTCACGTAGGTGTGTCTCAGATGTGGTGGAGAAGGTCAGGTGCTCATTTAAAAGTGTCAAACAAAATAAACATGCAAGTGTAGGGAAGCTTCGGCTAACTTTGGAAATTGTCTTACCTTCAGATTCCTACAGAACAAGCAAATAGAGAATTTTGTGTTGGAAGCCTCTGCAGAAAAATTACGATATTCAAGATCAGGTACTATACTGCCTGTGAGAACACTTGCAGTGACCGAGGTTTTTTTGTCTTGGTACAGGTTGTGAAGGAATCCCAGGTGGATGAGATCAGATTGGTGACCGGGTCCGCTGAGTCCGCAGCACTCAGACTACGTGTTCCTCTGCAGCAGGTGCAGGCCCAGCAGTCACCATTTCTGATAGCTTCCACATGGATTCTGATGGCGGTGATTCTTCAGACTCTGAGGTGAGCATCCAGTCCTATAATTGTCCATGCAGTCAGGAGCCACTGTAGATTTAAGACTAGTGTTGTAATGCTTTGATGTTAAATCATTTGATGATTTCCATTCATAGTTTTGTTTTCTAAGTCTTGGAGTGCTATATCTGTGGCTCAGAACAGCTGTGTTAGGCTGTGTCTGGGGAGTACAGGGGTTCAACAACAACCACGTGAAAAAACCCAGCCCCCACAGCTTTGGTCATGTCTGCCTAAGCCAGGTTCTGGTCTGTGCTCTGTGTAACCAGCAGGCACTGTGGTGTTCGTACTTGATGGGTACAAGATCTCAATGAACTTCTAACAGTGGCTGTAAATCTCAAATGCATGTATAATTCTCTAGGCATTACCAATACCCTTACAAAAAAATCTGTGGGCAAAGAATGACTGTGCCCTGGAACAGATTTCCCAGAAGGGTGTGGCGTCTCCCTCACTGGAGATAGTCAAGAACCATGTGGTGCAGTCCTGTGCTGTGTGCTCTATGATCACTGCTTGGGCAGGGAAATTGGACCAGATGTGGTCCCTACCAACCTGGCATATTCTGTTAATTTCTGCAGGATACATAACTGCCTTAACAGTGTGTTTGATATCCTTGGTAAAACAACTGTGATTGCATCAGTGTATTTTAACTTCCATGTGGGGTTAATAGATACACATTGTTGTTTGGCTGTAAAGGTAATAAACTGTCTTTCTAAAACTGTCTTTCCTTTTGCAGTCTGATCTCCTGTTTGGCTTTCTGGACAGTCTGGACCCAGAGATGTTTCTCAGATATGCTGATTCAGAGTCAACGTGCCTGGAAAAGCTGGAGGAAGACAGCTCTGGAGAAACAAATTCCATACCGACCTCCCTGTCTCCCTCTTTGGGGTCCCCATCAGCTAAGCTGGAAGCCATTAATGAACTCATAAGGTTTGATCATGTGTATACCAAACCCCTAGTAGTGGAGATTCCTGTCGAAGTGGCCAACCAAACCAATATGCTAGTGAAAATTGAGAAAGAAAATCTCTCTTCATCTGACAACAAGGACATCCCTGAGGTCCCGGTGTCTGTGAAGAAGGAACCTGTAGACAGCTTCATGCCTGAACTGGGCATTTCTCATCTGCTCTCTTCTTGTCATAGCCTTGAAACCTCAAGCTACCTGTTGGACGGCTGTAGTGACTCTGGGTATGAAGGATCCCTGTCACCCTTCAGTGACACATCGTCTCCGCTTGGCGCTGACCATGCGTGGGAGGATAGCTTTGCCAAGGAACTCTTTCCCCAGCTCATCAGTGTCTAACCTGGTAGTGTTAACTCCCCTTGGATACCTGTCCTGGCAGGATCTCAGCATACGCCCCTTTGGGGTGTATGTGGGGAAAATCCAGTCCATTCAGAGAAGTGTTTCTCATCTTTACCCATGCTAGTAGATGGCGTGATGGTATGAAAAAGCCAAGGGTGTCCTGTCCTGCCCTGGCTCCCCCCAGTCAGTGTTTGCTTAGGAGAGAGGCAGGTTTGTTACTCAGTAACTTGCTCATTCTCCATGAACCTGAAAATGTTTTGTTTTCTGGTTAAAATTTTAACACCAAAAACTGAAGTGGGATATTCATGTGTAGACAACTGGGCTAAACCTTAATAGTCTCTAAGTCTTACAGCTTCACTAAATGCTTGTTTTCCATTTGCTATGTAGAGTTGCTTTGTTCATTTAATATTTAACTGTATTGGTGCAATTAAAATGCAGTGCAGCTCACTGACTTTTTTTGCCTTAGAACTCAGTGGGGAGGGGAGAGAATCTGGGCCTTGGAGAATTTATGTTCAGGTCCCTTGGTGTCTCATCCTACTGCAATGCATTGATGAGCAGTGCTCATAGGGTGTCTGCAGCTGGATGTTTCAGCAGTTCCCTTTTGGGATGTGGTACAGGGGTTTGTGTGAGGGCCAGAGCTACTAGGGCAAAACCTGCATCCTCTGTAAGGCAGGCAGGAGAGCAGGAGGTTGAAGTCTTGAGTATTCAAAAGTCAGGGCCGTGGTGGCACCTTGGTTGCCAGTAATACTGTCCAAAATTCTCAGTCTGAGGGGAGGTGGGTGCAAGACAAACAAGGTGTGGAAATGGTTGCAGATTCTGTATTCCCACAGGAAATCCTGAAGCATCAAATGGCCTTGGCAGGAGCTAATTTCAAATACCACAGCAGGACTTCTCATTGTCCACATCCATTTGCTCCAGTATCCAGTATTTATCACAATATTAAAAACACTTGGAGAGACAGAAAAAATCTATACTGAAAATAAGAGCTGTTGCAGGTGTGAGCACAGCTGTTCTTGGTTTCAGTACTATTTCATATTTGGCATTCAATTTTGACAAAAATAACTTGGGGTGGGGAGGAAAGAAAACCAGAGATGTTTCAGTCAGTAATGTTCCAGGTGCCAGGACTGCTTTGGATTACAAGCTTGAGTAACTTAGTTTATAATGAAGGATTCTACCTGAAAAGTGGGTAGAAGGAAAGGCTACAGCTGTGCAATATAACAAATTTAGATTGAAAATCCAAGCAGTCAGAAGAATAAGTTGGTTTACTTTCAAGGTGGAAAACAGGGATGACTGCAAGAGTATCAAATAAACTGTTGCGAGTCCAAAAAAAAAGTAGAAGTGAGGATTTGATCTGTAGTTGTGCATTACATTTTGTTAGCACCCTTTTACAGAGCCCCAGTCCTTCCTGGAAACCATGAGCAAGCCATTTCAACATCTAAAAAGTCCCAAGGAAATTGTGTTAGTTTCCTTTCCATCACAGGAGGACACGGGCTGTACTTAACATTTCAACCTTATTAAACACAGGAGACAGAAATGTTCAAGGACAGCGTCTTTACACTGTTTTGCTTCCACTTTTCAACTTAACAGCTACATCCTAGCATGCTTTATCCTTACTTACTGCAAGCACTGGGTCCCACAACAAGCTGTTAATAGTTACTGAGCTCTCTTCCACTAAAAAAATCATAGTTCTTGTTTGGCATCTAGAGGCCTACTACCATTCAGAATTCCTATAAGCACTAATATTTTCTACTAGAATCAAGTCCACTAAGATGGTACACAAAAAAGCAAAGTCTTACATTCCAACAAAATTATTAAAATCTGAATTTAAAACTCTCCTTCAACTTTCCTTAACTTCAAGAATACCTAGCTTGCTTAGTTCTGAATAGTTTTATTCTGAAGTAAAATGAAACATCTGAAAACATAAACTGTAGCAACACCTATTGGTACCTCTACTGCTTTGTCAGAGGCCTTTGGGTCACGACAAACTTAAAACAACTCTTCCTTCCTGGCAGCTTCAGGTTTATTCTACCCTGCTGTTGCCTTCCCTTGCCCTGCTGAATACTGTGAAGGAAAAAAAGGGGCATTCCTTTGACACAGCATAGTTAAATTCAAATCTTAAGCCAGAAGAGTACTTTACTGCCCAGCTGAAGACTGTAGATAGGCTCCCAAGGTCTTTTCACTCTTATCAGGAATGAAACAGTCATCTAAAAAATATTTTAGAAAATTTATTGAAAACTGACATACAAAGGGTGATTTGGTCCCAAGAGAAGACAGACCAGAATTGGATCTTCCATATTTCAAAATAAGGTTTCTCCTAATACTGCATTGCATCTGCCATCCCGTCTGTGAACAGCATTAATAAAAGTCTTTTAATGAAGACAACAAAGGAAACTCACAAATACAGAAGTCTGGAAATGCCCACAGCTTGATCTCATCCAATCACCCTCCCCAAGTGATTGCTGTAGCTCAGTGCTCCTGTCACTTGGTTCCCACTCTTCTATCAATTTTAGCAACTCAAACCCACTGTCTCCTGTCATAAGGGCAGAAATGCATTGTGAAAAAATGAAAGTAAATGTTTTCTATCAAAGCAAAATCCTTAGACAACTTTTTCTCCATTTCATAGTCTCTGTCAACAGTGCACCACTATATTGTTTTAAATGTCAGGTAACAGGTCAGTGATGCCCTACTGGCATTGAATTAAGAAGAAAGACACCTCTGAAAGTCAACCTTTGGTACAAACCTAGCAGAGAAAAAAGTATGCTTAAAAGCCATCTACAGCAGCTTCTTATTCTGCAAATCTGATATGCAATTTGGTGTTTTTAAGAGGAAAACAACTTCCATCATTTGATATATTTAGGCCTCCTACAGGTTTTTTACATCTGTTGCAACTTTAGTGTTGCTGAGATGGTTTCATCACATTTTTGAAATTTTCATCCTTTCTTTTCAGCTTATTTAGGATTCAGAGCTTTCCCCTAAAATACTTCCAACTTCGAACTTTCACTACAATCCAGCACCCAGTTACTTACTTGGAGGCACAACATGTTCTACCTGCAGTGACTACAGCCTTCTCCAAACTACACTGCTTTATGTTCTACTCAAGCACTGGAGCACATCAAAGGCTGTAGGTTTCAAACACGTTCAGCAGCTTAATAATACGTAAGGAATTTTACACAGTTCATGCAAGAGATTCATAGCAGACCCTGAAATGAAATTAGGCATTATAGCAAGATAGGCTGCACATGTTCTTCAACTTAAACCTTCTAGAATGGCACACGTGTATACTGGCTTCCAGAGTAATACCTAATCAAATGCTGGAGTGGTCTTAGTGAAGCTCTGAAATGTTTTATCAAGAGACAGAAAATTTCAGAAAACCTTCAACAAAAGCAGCAAGATAAACAGGGTTTAACAAACAGGTATCTTGAACAACCAAAAGGAAATAAAGGATGACTGCAGAAAGAGAAGCTCGATTTTTAACTTTCAGCTATGGGTTATTCAACAATAAAGAGTATTATAAGAAGGATTCTCTCTTAGCTGTGCAGAGAAGAGTAGATTTTCTTACATGAGCAGCTGTTGTACTTGCTCCTTTACGTTAGCAAGATGTCAAAACCAGATTGGGACGTAGGACTGAACAGAATCTGTTACTGGGAAAGGGATTTCCTAAGAAAAGCCTCAATTCAGTTATCTCTGAGAAAGCTGAAGGACTTATAAATAAAAGATAAAACCCTTAAACAAGTTAGAGAACCTTAAGCATAAGGAACTGCTGTGCATTGAGAAAAGGTACAAACAATATCTCATTGTGGATTCCTTTCCTTGGCACCCTGTACAGGGTAGAAAATTCTTTTGGCATGCATCTGTATAAACAATGTGATGCTATATTATTGGCACATACTGTGGCTTAAATTTTGTCTAGATTCTCTCAGGAAAAAGACAGCCATCTCCTTTACCTCACCACCAAAGGCTGGGACTTGGATACAGACAATAGTCCAGCACTTGACAGCAGCTCCCTGTTATCTGATTTACTTATCATATTTATCCAAATTAATGGATGCCATTCATTTAATCAGAAGTTATACTATCTTCAACTGACTTTCCAACTCCATGCATACAAAGAATCCCAGCACAATGTAAACTGTGAATCTCTTTGGTGAGAACCACTTTTCTCCAAACTTTGCATTGTTTGAGGAGGGGAACATCAAAAACCCACAGATAAAATTTAGAAGCCAATGAACAAAGATGAAGTTAGTAGGTATCCTGCAAGTTATAAATACTGGCTTTACTTTTTAAAAAGCAAAAGACTTAAGCTCAGCTGTAATATTCCTTCCCTACCACCCCATGGATTTTACAATGTCTACATCTGAGTTTACATCAAGTCCAAACAGGTAAGATGGTGTGAAAAGCTGAATTACCAGAGGGGTTGCTTTTCTATCTGTGACCAGATTTGAAGGTATTTCTTCCTTTACATTTTGTAATTCAAATTAAAGCAAATGGCCAAGCATAGTATGTGCACTAGTTTCAATGGCTCAGTAAGAGAAAGGTGTGGCTTAAGCCACAATTACATTCAGTATTTGTATTTTATACTTTACCAAGGGCAATTAAGAGGATATTTCACCATTAAGCAAGATGGAAAGCTACTTCCCTGTTCCAAAGGCCTTTGAATTACCTTTTGAGTAAAAGTAAGAATATTTAACAGACAGGAACACAGAAATCTTAGGGTGTTTCCTGGCCACCCTATGATTGTGGTGTGCTTATGATTGTTAGTAAGAAAACAAAAAACAAATAATGTAACTTCAGGTTCACACATCAAACCAGAAAAAAAAAAATCAAAAAACACCAACAATAAGCATCAGAAGCTCACCACTTCCAGTCTAAAATCTGGCATCTACAACTCCATTTCTTCTTCTGCACACCCAGATATTCCCAAACTAGCATATGGATCTGGAGACATGGCAGTCTGTTGTGATGCAGGGAACGTTTCAGTCTGTGGGTCAAAAGGAGCTCTTGGTGTTGGCTGCTTAGCCTGACACACTTCTGTACTCTGCTGCTTGAAGTTCTTAACAGAAACAGACTTCAGTTTATCTGTCATAAATTCAGGAAGAGGTTTCCAAAGCACCAGCTCCATAGACGGACGGCTCCTAGAAGGGACAGAGTTTCAGTAAAACATAAGTTCTCCAAGCACAGCTATTAAATGCAGAAGACGTGTATCTTCATCCTCTGAGCTAGCCTGGAACTATATTCCAGAAAATATATACCTTTTCTTCCCCCCTATTAAATTTCCTCTTCCCTAACTAGTTCCATTATTTCTAGTTCTAACCCTTTATTTCCTCTCTTTTTTGCACCAAACTTGACCACTGTTGGTCACACTTCAGGATCTTCTCATTTTGAAAACTCACATGCATAAAACCAAAACTTATATTGGTTCCCTCAACAAATTTCACTCTGTAGAAATGAGGAGTACAAAACAGACACTTCATGACCACTACAGTTACACTTATTTCTTTTTTACATTAGGACAGTTTTTCCTATTTTTAACCAGATGAATGGTCTGTTATAAATGTTGGCTGCATCATGCAGTAATCAAGGACATCTCCATAAACATGAAACAAGGTCTCTCTTTTCATTTGCACATGTTCACTACATAGCACCATGATTTCCTCCAGAACTTACATAGATTCTATTATTTTCTTTGTCAGGACTTCACCAAAATCCCTCTTCATCCCTTTCTTAAGGGTATCTGACAGGATAAGAGTGGGCAGATTGCTAACATTTCCATCAGCATGAACTTCCTCATCTTCATCAATTATCCTAGGAATGGAGGGGGAAGAGGGAGATAAACACTATTGAGCATACTGTTATCAGGAACATCCACTGCAGACTACAGTCACATCTACGTGCTCTGCTCTGTGCAGATCTCTGACCTAGGTTGGGTACCAGAAGCAGCAGGGCTATGTTAACCTGAGTCTCTCTTGGGCCAATATACCCTGAGAAGGACTCATCACAGAAGCCACTGGAGCAGCAATGCCACTTTTGGTACCTGAGCTAGCTTTGTCACCCCTGTGTTATCCCAGCAGTGTCACTGCAGACATACACTGAGAAAAAATAAATTCCCTCTAAGGGAAACTCTACGATTCAGTCACATTACACAAGTGAGTCTCAGCTATGCAGCTGCTTCACCTGCTCAATTCCCCAAAACTGGACTTTGAGAATTATTGCAAAGGTACTGAAAACAGTGCTTCGTTTTTCACAACTTGTGTCAGTTTCTGAGAAATAAATTGGCATAAATTGTTGCAGCGTTTAGAACAAATGGAAGCACCTCCTTTGTTTTTGGTAAACTTTTCATAGAAAATTTAGCAGACTAGGTGGGAAGAATAGGGAACAATCCTCCAAGAGGACCAAAGCAGACATAGACAGATAACAGAGACATCTTTCACTACTCTGATTTACCCATGAAAAAAATAACAGTCTAACAGTACCTTGCTTCTCCTTATGCATCATCTATGGAGTAATCTACAAGAAAATCTTGTTTTAAAATTTCTGTAACTTTTGGCTTTTCTAACCACCTGCAATCAACTGATACATACACATGCCATTCCCAGAAATCTTTCAAGGGACCGAATGCACAGTAAATTTATTAAATGACTACAGCAGACTTTCTATAGCCCCCCCATTACCCCACATCACACCATCAGCAGGATGAATCTCAGCTTTACTGCATATATGCAGAGAGACCTCTCTGGTTCATGCTACTCTCTACAGTAACAAATTCACATTTCTTTTAAGTATTAATCACAGAACAAGCTGCAGTTGGTTGAAAAAAGCTGAGCTCAAGCCTGAGCAGGTCGATGTTAGAAGCTGAGCTCTGGATGCTCACAGAAGAGCATTAAACCCCATTATGGTACATTAAAGTTGCATAATGATTGTGAGCAGGGTGTTATTTAGTCAGCATCTCCTGCTCTAGCACCCTCAATTTCAGATCAGCCTGAAGACTTACAGGATCACAGGTAGCCTAAAATGAAATAATTTGAACAGAAGGTTCACCTCAGACTTATAACAGTGTTATCACACTGCTAAGTGCTAGATTCACCCCTGAATGCCCACCAAAAAAGGGAAAGCTCAGCAAAGCCAGGCTACTCAATCCCTGCATTTACCTGTCCTCAATTTCCTGAAGTTTCCTGCGAGCAACCTCGCATTGCTGTTCCCCCATTGTCTGATCCATTTCTTCACAGGGAATTTCTAACATGGCAGTTTCAGGACCGCTGCCACCATACTGACTTGCTACCTCCCCAGCTGCCTGCTGACCTGCACAGAGAATCCATTCTTCAGTGTTGGGATTCAAAGGGCAATTTTTGGCTCCTGTCAGTCTCTTCTTCCGCACAGGACAGCTAGGAAACAAAGTAAGTTTACAATTGTCAAAAAAAGAAATGTGGCATTCTACAGGAACAAATGTTATTGAAAGTGCATTTCAGCAGCATTAACACACTATGGCAATGAAAGTTCAACAAAGAAAATAAATCCACATTGCTCTTAGTAAAATGTGAGTACCTATTCAGGAAAATCAGTTCCACACAATTAATTAGGTAATAGAAATGGATTTGGGCTCAAGTGCAATTCAAGGGAAGAGTTCCAAATGGAAACAATTCTAGATTTCCTTCCTGTTTGTAGGTGAGATGTGCTCAAACCTTTTACAAAACAAAAAGCAAATCAGGATTTTTCAGGCTATAAAAGACAAATTAATTTACCCTTCTGCCTCTTCTTCTAGCTTATGCTTCTTTCCACATCGCACAGAGACACTACAAAAGAAAAACAGTTACTTAGCTTCAAATCATATCTTCTGGTTACACTGACATTTTCAAACAATATTTTCCTCCCTTTTAAAATTTTATCTGAGATAACAGTCACAGTATATCACCAGCTGTCAAGGAATAAAAGTTTGACCACTTTGTTCCAAAGGAAGTCAAAAGTGACTGTAATTGCTCAGTTCTTTGAACAGAATTCCACGCTAATTTCTTCTCCTTTACATTATTTGTTTTTCCACAAGGGGCAAGATCAATTTTTTGCTAAAATTCAAATGTTTCAAGAGCAACACATGACCCAGCTTGAGTCTCTTAGTACTCTGTATCACAGGGACATACTGAAAAAAATAAATTCGTTTCAAAGGATGCAAAGATGTTGCTACACTCGATCCTTGCCTCTTAAAAGGCTCCTTCATTCCCCACCAGCCAGCGTCAAGGTCCTTAGCCGAGCACAAGACAATTCTAACCTCCTACCAGCGCAACACTGACAAGGAAACAGCCCCCAGCCGCCTCCAAAGCACCCGGCGCAGTTCCCCATTGCCGGCGCTCGGGCCTCGGCCCTGCAGGAACGGGTCTGGCACTTACTGGCTGCGGCTCCTGGTGAAGGAGCTCACCGGGGCCACCGTCAGCCCCTCGTGGTGGCTGCCGAGCGCGGCCAGGGAGGCCAGGTCGAAGCTACTCTGCAGACAGAGGCCGGAGGATCCACCGACGCCGTCGTTTCCGATCCCTGTCATGACCATCCCGGGTGGCTGCAGACGGCCGTGACCGCCGGCTAAGGGCTGCGGGCCGTGGCGGTCCGGGGCAGCGGCCGGCGCTGTGGGGAGCTCCACGGCCGGGCCCGCCGGGATACCCTGGCAGGATCTGCCTAGCGCTGCCATTTCCTGATGCGGAGGAGAAAGCGCACATCAACGCCACAACCCGCGCTGCACGACGCGCCGGACCTGCCCGAGGAGCCCCTCACGAAACCGCGTCCGCCCGTAGCGCTCACCCGGGCCAAGCCGGGCCCGCGGCTGCGGCCGCCGCTACAGCCCGGGTCCTTCCAGGCCTTTCGCCGCGATCCGATAAGGACCCACGGGCACTGTGGGAGTTGTAGTCCCGGGCACTGTGGGGCCTCTGGGAGTTGTAGTCCTGGGTGCTGCGGGGCCTTTGGGAGTTGTAGTCCTGGGCGCTGTGGGGCCTCTTGGAGTTGTAGTCCTGGGTGCTGTCGGGGATGCCCTCTGGGAGCGGAATCCCCTCCCCGGCTTTGAGGATGCTGTGGGACGATCGAGGAGGGCCGAGGCAGCCCCTCTCTCGTCCGTGGCTCTGTCTAATCCTGGTAGCGAGGCGGGTATGGTCCAGCAGCCAAATCCCGGTCAGCTGAGGAGCTCAGGCGGGGTCGGGGAGGTGGCGAGCGGAGCTGAGCAGGAGGGAGAAGAGGGATGGCGCCCAGGCACACGGTAAGAGCCCGTCCTTGTCTTTAGTTGCGGGAGGCTGCGGGGTTCTGCGCGGAGTTACAGAAGGACAGTGCCTGTACGCAGTGTTAGAGGTGGGAAAGTTCCCTGAGGCTGCTATGAGGCTTTATCTAAGTTGGACATTCCTGTCACAAAAAGTCCTGGACCGTTGAGGAGAGTCCCAATGGGCGGGGGGAAAAAAAACCCAAAACCAACCAACCAAAACAACAACAAAAAAGCAAAGCTGATCTTAATACATTAATAACTTAAGTTCTTTGGCACCTTTTTTTTTTTTTTCCTGTAACGTAGTTTATTAAATTTTGCAAAGGAAATCTAATTCGGCCCATGCTCAGAATGGAGCACCAGCCCCTGGTCAGAGGGTCTAGCTCGCCCTGCAAGGTAAGCAGAACCATCCTGGCCTCTGAAGGTGGATCCTGCAGGGAATTTGTAGTTTTAGCAATGATGTTCAGATGTGGAATGTGCGGGTATTTCATGTAAGTTTTAAGTAGAAATACATTAAGTGATTAGACTCATAAAGTTTTGCGCTTTCCTTGGACACCTGGCTGTGTTGGAAAGTGGAAGCTATAAAAGCAGGTTTCTGATCCTCATGTTTAGCATTGAATACAAATGGAATTTTGTTTGTGTCGTGTTTCTGAGATGAGGTGAACGCCCTTATAAGCTGTCAGGAGTTGAGTAGCTGACAGAACACATGAGGCTGTTTGTTATCTGTGCTCTCTCCAAATGTGAGACAGCATGCCAGTGCCACCAGACCAGCTGATTTGGGCAGGAAGAACAAAAGATCTGTCGTAACAAAACCTAAGTTATATGATGTATGTTCATTATTTTGGGTTGTTTGTTTATTTTCTGTCCCTTCTAGATGCCAGGTTACCCATAAAACACACAAAATTGGTTTACAGTACGTAGTTAATAAAAGGGGCTGAATGTGCAGTGCCAGTATTTACCACATCAAGTTTTAATTTTTTTCTGCTATACTCACGGCAGCCCTTACTTCTTACTCTTGATTCATTGCTTTGGTTGACATTCAGAGAAACACTTTTTATTCTAGGAAATGGTAAGGAAATGTTAATTAGATTTTACTTTAAAAGATCAATTTCAACTTGCAAATTTCAGTCTTGAAGGAAGGAAGGAAGTTTTGAGGAATTATCTTTAGGAAGGACACAACTCTTTCAGAATACAGTATCTGGAATAACTCAGCATTTCTGGGAACTGGACCAAGAATAAGAATGATGAAGAATTAGTCTGCATACTTTACAATGAGAAATTCAGGGAGTACAAGTTAATTAAAAGAAATAGATACAGCCTTTATATATGAAGGAAGGGGAAATTCACTGAAGTGCCTTAAATATAGGAAACATTGTGTCCAACTGAAGTCAGTCAATAAGATAATATGATATGAAATAGGACCTAATTTAAAACAAAATGTTTTCTAGACATTTGATGTTATTTTTAGTATGATCATATTCAGTGAAAAGTAAACTTAGAGGGCACTGCAGGAGAATATCAAATAAAAACCTCTGGAGATCTCTGGCCATGGGGCATCATCCAAAGTACATTTTACGACCAGTTATATTCTTGAGATTTGAATGTATCACAGTAGTAGTTTGTGTTGACCTTGAAAACCTGTGAATCTGTGACTCTAGGAGTTCTAGTGTGTAAACACCGATTTGAGAATGAAACTAGGTCATAGATGTTGACAACTTAAAAAAAAATACATGCCAATAAACTTTAAATTAAATATTATTACCAGTGAACAAATTACTGTGACTGAGGTACTAAGGCTTTACACCTTCCAACTTGCAGACATCGAGTAATCATTTTAGGGACTTAAAATATTGTTTAAAGGGAAATAAAATATTGTTACTTCTCACATCTTGATTAAAACGTGACTCACAGAAATTGAGATTTGGTTAATTCTTATACTGAGTCGTTTTGTCTCTAACACCAAACATGAACAGTCCCAGCATTCTTTCATTAAGAACAGACACTGTGAGCAGTGTGGCTTATGCAAAAAGCATTTACTCAGTTTCCAATAAGAGCTGTAAAGGTTTTATTGCCTACACATAATCTGGAGACTTGTAATTGTGAGTATTTCTAAAGGCTCTTAATGATCAGTGCCAAGGCCAGTCTGAAATGCTTCCCCTGCTGCAAGTGTTCAGGTGGTTTTCTTAAACAAATACTTTCACTGCTTCAAACTAAATACATGATGTGTTTCACCATCATTTTCTTCTAGCTGTGACGTGTGTGTGGGCTCAAGGTCCTATCTCTTTTCATGCCCATGACTTTCTTTTGTTCCCCAGCTCCCCAGCTGGACGTTGCTCCTGACTGTTTGTGCTGTTGGAATTGGAGGCACCTTTCAGTATGGGTATAATGTCTCTATTATCAATGCACCCACCCAGGTAAAAGCTCATCTTTTGTTCACTGGGCTGTTTCCTCTCTGAACTCGGCCAAGAGGCCAAATGTGCTTTTGCTGTGATCACAGTGGGAACTGAAGCAGTCTTCCTCTCATGTGAAGGAATCTTGTGAATTTCCCATGTGGTTTCATGTGCATTTGTTTGTGAGTAACTCCCATCAGAGGTATTCTGTGTCAGACAAAAGTGCCAAATAGGCCACATAAATACCTTTATTATTAGAAAGATTAACTGAATAAGTAATATATTTTTGAGTTACCAAAATAGCCCAGAACACTAAGGGTAGAATAGACCAGAACATTTTCAGTTGGAAGAGACCTACAGTGACCATCTAGTCCACTTCAGGGCTGACCAAAAGTTAAAGCATGTTACTAACAGCATTGTCCAAATGCCCTTGCAGCACTGACCACTTGTCTAGGAAGCCTGTTCCTCTGTTTGACCACCCTTTCTGTAGGATATCACCAGTATTTCCCCACATGTCAAGTTTAAACCTCTCCTGACTCAGCTTTGAGCCATTCCCATTCTTTCTATCACTGGATAAGAGGGAAAAAGGATAGTTACTATGTAAAGGTGTCCATCACAAGGCAGATTACTGAAAAAGATCATCTCAGGGAATTAAAATGTTGCATCTGTAGTGGCTGAGTAACTTGTAGATATTTTCACTTACTTGTTACTTGAGCGTTCTTTGTGTGGCCTCCAGGATTCTGCATATTTTGTGGATGCTCAAGGGTCTGAGCAAATGGTCTTGTGAAAGTGATAGGTATCAGTTTTTGCTACCAGCTGATTTATTTGCTTGGGAAACTGTGAAGAATGAATTTGCTTCAACGTTGTATACTTTTTACAAAGCTTAAAAGAAGCTGTTTGTGAAAGAACATGTCATATTTTGGGAACAGAGGGAGAGTTCAAGAAGTTTGTTCTTTAGTCTTCGTTTGCAGGCGAAGAGCAGGAGCCCGTGATTACAGATGCATGCCAGTTCAAGGGTTTCTAAAGGCAAATTTTAGAAAATCAAGCATGTGGAATAACAGCTTAAAACCATTCACCCTCTCCCCCTCCTTGTTCAGAAGGACCTCAGAGCTCTTTCCTGGCAGTGCATGTCAGGGTTGTATTTCTCCTCTGCTGCAGCACCTGAGGCAGGGCACAAATCAGAGCTGCTCAGCAGCCTTTGAGGTGTGTGGGGAGTAGGAAACACAAGGTCTTCCTTGAGGTCAAGGAAGATTCTGCCAGTCAGATGATATCTTTTAGAATTAGCTCCCAGAATTGATTTTTAGGATTGGGGTGCAAGTTATTTGTAGTGCTGTATAAAATGCTACACATTCCTCACTCTTTTCTACTGCAGCATATACACAAGTTCTTAAACGAGACCTGGAATAGTCGTTATCAGAAGGAACTAAATCCAGATTTGCTGACTTTTCTCTGGTCTGTCATTGCTTCTATCTTTTCCCTCGGAGGCCTGTGTGGAGCCCTGATTGGAGGCAGCATGGCAATCCGGCTGGGCAGGTCAGTTGCAGCAGCAGCATAGAAAAGAATGTTTGCTTTTCCTACCTTTCCACTGGAATAGAAAGTAAATAAATGATAGAGGAATGGGAGAAAAGAGTACCTTGGGTACCTATCCATGTTTTTTCACTTTAAAACTGAGTTTTCTAGTAGAATTTTATAGTTTATTCCAATGTGACTTTCAAGGATGAGCCCTGGATGACCTTTGACTTAGTCTTTGCATTACATTTACTGAAATCTGAGTAGGAGAATGCACACAGAGTGTGTTGGAAACACGAGTTCCTCCCTGACACATTTGCAGCCCTTGTGCCAGTAAGGACGTGCTGCTTCATCTGTTGCACTTCATTTGTCTAAATGAAGAAACCCCACTCCTACCTTGTCAGGTATTTCTGTCATGTTTATGCATTATTCTTATGTTTAGACATTTTTAAAAACATAAGCAGTTGTATCAGATATCTGGGTTTTCCAGATACTGTATGTTTCTTTAGTATAAAGTCCATCTCCACCCCCCCCGCCCCCCATTATCAGAAAAGAAAACTTTTAAAACCTCACATTATTACAGATTTCCTTAAAATCTGATTGGGGTGGATTGGTTTTGGTTTTTTTTTTGTTTGTTTCAATCAGTTTTTGTTTGTTCTCTACTACTACTACTACTACTACTACTATTATTATTATTATTATTATTATTATTATTATTATTATTATTATTATTATTATTATTATTTTGTTCCTCCTCTTTAGGAAAGGAGCTCTTTTGATGAATAATCTTATAGCAATACTAGCCTCCATTTTAATGGGGATCAGTTTTCCTACAGGATTGTTTGAGTTACTGATTGCTGGAAGGTTTTTGATTGGCATAAATTCAGGTGAATGATTTCTTATTCCTACTATCAATAAACTATGGTGAATGATAAATGATTGTTACTTCTGATCCTTTAGCTTTTATGATCCTTGTTTATGATGAAAATGTTCTGTAGTTTAGCTTGGAATCTGAAGGGAGCTAAATGAATAGGAAATTAATTAAATCCCGTTTTGTATGTGTTTTGGTTTAGTAAGTCTTTGCAAAACAATTTCTATTGATAGGAAAATGTTTTTTCCATTTACTTGCAGGTGTTGGGCTCTGTGTGCAGCCTCTTTATATTGGGGAGTTTGCCCCAAAACACCTAAGAGGTGGCTTGGCCATGGGGACTTCCATCTTTCTGACTGGGGGAATTCTGACAGGACAAATAATTGGTTTGAGGTAAGAAATGCTTTTTTTTTTTTGTCTCTTGTTTTGTGTTATTCCTGTGTAAAGAATTCTAATTTCCTACAGCTCATTGCAGAACATTCCTTGTGCCATTGTAACATTAGAATTCATACAAGGTCCCCCTGGGAGAAGAAAATCCTGCTCCACTCACCTTATTCCTACAACTGCCAGCCATCAGTGGTGTCAGTTGAGATGGGTCACCAGCACAGCATCACAGCAGCCACATTGGAGCTGAGTTCATGTTTTCTGCTAATTTCTTGCTGGAGACAGTGGATGTTGGCAAGACAGGACTTGAGAGGAAAGGACTCACATTTCTGTATCACAGCACTATCACTGCTTTTGTCCCCTGTGTGATCAGAGGATCCAGCTGGAATTTAGAAGTTCCAAGAGCAGAGACTACACCAAATAATAACCAATAGCTAATTATTATATTTCTTTGCCTTCTTTTTCCACATTTCTCACAGAGAATTATTAGGTGGAGAAAAGCATTGGCCTCTGTTGCTATCCAGCAGCTGTATTCCAGCATTAGCCCAACTTTTATTCCTTCCATGGTTTCCTGAAAGTCCCAGATATCTTCTTATTGACAGAGGTGATGAGCTGAGCTGTGCCAAAGGTAATATCCAGCATCTGTACTTTCTGTTCTCCAGAAGGGTACAGTGAATATATTGGATTCCAGATTCTCCTTTTATCTTTATCCACACAGCCCAGTTGTATCATCTAGTGCTTTTTGGCCCATGTTCTTTCTCCAGTGAGCTTATATGGAAGAAGGGATTGTGGAACTCAGGAGCCTATAATGGTTTATGAACAAAACTTTATTATCCTGTTTCAAATAGAAATTCATTGACTAGAGCTTCAAGCTGATTACTCTTAGTGAGAAGTTCATGATCAAGGATCACCAAAACTCTTTCTGTTGGCCTTAAGAAGACAAATTGTCACTTGATATATATTTAATCATGAAGATTGTAAAGGAACAGATGCTGTATACTCTTTAACTTTTAAGACCATTTGTAAAGATTTTAATTTGAGATCCAAATGACTTCTGATTATATTTGCCTTAGGAGAAGGATTTTCTGTCTTTGCTCCAGCTCACTAACTGCATCCCACTGGCAACATTAAAGTCAAGGCCATAATAAAGGACTCAATATCTGCCTAGAATTTAAGTAAAACACTTCAAACTGCTAAGAGTGTCCTTTAAGGAAAAGATTATTTGAAGGTCTGAGGTTCAGATACAAAGTATTTTGCCTGGTGAATATTTCAAGGTCAGATTTCCTCTACAAAGAAGCAAAGAAATGCCATAGAATTCTCCAAATCCACGACAGCAAAAAATGTTGAAAAAACAGCAAGGAATAAGCAAGTCACAAAGCAAATTTTTCATATCTTAGCAAAATCCAGGTCATTATGGAAAGATATTATTTCCCATGAGTTGTGGCTAATAGATAAACATAAATTATTTTTTTCTCTTTTTAGCTTTGAAAAGATTTCATGGTTCCTCAGAGTATCGAAGGGAGATGGAAGACATCCAGCGAGAATGTTTTGCTTTAGATGGGGAGAAACCCAAGAAGCCCTGGCAATTATTCACTGACCGTGGTGTGAGATGGCAGCTCATCACTGTCATTGTGATGACAATAGGCCAACAGCTCAGTGGCATTAATGCTGTAAGATTTCATATGAACAAACAGCTTAAATAATTATTTCACTTCCACTTGTTTTTCAACTATTTATTAACACCAAGGATCCACATAGAGAAGCTCAGAGAAATGGGATAAGTGGGAAAGAATGTCCTTGCATTTGGGTGTTTCTCTCGTTTTTTCTCGTTTCTGTGTTTCTGGTATGCAAGCTTTTTGAAAGAATGACTTGATACTTCCTCTGAAAAAGTAAATAAAGGTGGATCAGCTTATCCCACTGTGTCTAGTTTAAGAATATAAAGCATATTCAGTAAGTTGAATAATCCTATTGGCTTTTACATTAGCAGTATGTTTACTTAGACATTAATTTAACAGATTGTTATTGCTGCTTATGTAGCATTAGTGTTGCATTAGTAATTCACAATATAAAATACACTGATCTATATATTTAGTATGAACATGATTCTGTTTCCAGACAATGTTTTAAATACCAGAAAAACCTAATTGTTTGTTTTTGTGTTTTTTTTTCTGTTGTAGATTTATTTCTATGCAATTTACGTTTTTGAACAAGCTGGGATCTTGGCAGAAAAAATCCCGTATGTAACACTTGGCACTGGAGTTTGTGAATGTCTCACAGCCCTCTCCTGTGTAAGGAGCAGTTTGTTCTACCTCCCAGTACAAAGAGTAATGATTCTTCCTGAAGAGCATTGGTAAAAAGGAGATGAATATATTAACAGAAGATTGTATCTTGTCCACAGGGTTTGCTGATAGACTATGTGGGAAGAAGATGCCTTATCATTGGGGGTTATCTCCTCATGACACTCTGGTGCACTGTTCTGACCTTCTCTCTGACTTACCAGGTGCAAAGGACTCGTTCCTATTACACAGTGTGACTGAGGAGTGAGAAGGGCACGTAGTGACCTAATAAAGGGGAATGAGAGTAGGGTTAGATTAGGGAGGGAAGAAATTCTTTCCTGTGAGAGTGGGGAGGGCCTGGAGCAGGGTGCCCAGAGAAGCTGTGGCTGCTCCATCCCTGGAAGTGTTCAAGGCCAGTTTGGATGGGGCTTGGAGCAACCTGGGCTATTGGAAGGTGTCCCTGCCCATGGCCAGGGGTGGGATGGGATGAGCTTTGCTGTCCTTTCCAGCCCAGCCCACACTATGATTACATAGTTCTATGATACGATTCAGTAAAAATTATTGAATGAACACTATTTAATTTCTCTCAAGCAGAACTGTTAAATAAATTAGCTGTAGAAGAGTAATGAAAGACTGCTGGTCTTCGTTGAAATAAATTACAAAAGGAAACAGAACTGTTAAGCCAGTCTTCAAGACTGGATTATCAAAATCTGAACTAAACCTTCTCATTGTCTTCTGTTTCAGGAGCTGTACTCCTGGATGCCTTACTTGAGTATGGCTTGTGTGTTTGCCTTCATTTTGAGCTTTGGGCTGGGTCCAGGTATTGCACAGGAATGTGTGTGAGTGGTGGAAGGTCTGGGAGGGCCGTGCTGTCACACAGGCAAGAAGCCTTTGCAGCACAGTTGCTGCTGCTCTGGCTAAGGAGCCCAAGTGAGGCCATCCTGCAGCCCACAACTGAGGCTTACCATGCACACTTCTGGGGCAGCTGTGTGTGAGGGAGGGCTTAGTTCTGCCCTTCAGAACACAGGGGTTCTACACTTGTCAAAGGGGGCCTGCTCCCTGATCAGTGCTGCTGAAATAGAGTTGTTTTAGTGGGAAACTTCCTGCAAGGGCAGTAGTCTCAGCTCTGTGCTGTTAGGAATTATAATAGATCAGCTAATGGCACATTCAAAAGCAAGTCAATCTTTTGTAGCATTGGAAATACCTCAAATGGACATTTAGCACAATTCTCTGTTCTGTTTCTGAACCATCCCCAGGTGGCATAACAAACACCCTGACAGCTGAGTTATTTGTGCAGTCCTCACGTCCTGCTGCCTACATGATTGCAGGGACTGTGAGTTGGATTAGTTTCTTCACAGTTGGAATGCTCTTTCCCTTCATAGTGGTGAGTATGCACAGCACAATTTCCATTTCATCTGCTCCCACGTTCCATCCCATTGCTTGTATTGGATTATATGCACTTGTATATATTATTGACACTTGACCAGGATGCACACTGCCTCTCAAATGAGTTTAACTAGATTCAGTCCTTCTTAAAAGCATTTTTTACGTATCACAAACCACAATATAACACAATAAATGAAAAGTAAAAGGAATGCACTGGAGGGCAATGTTCATGTTCAGATGAAAAGAACAGAGAAGGTATCGAAAGCAGAAAAACTTAATCAGATACTGAGATTTAGATAAAACATTGTTTAATAGTGCCCTGTGCTTTTATGGCAGTAACGTTGAGGTGATACCTGTGGCCAGTGAGTCACATCTCTGAGAACTTCCTGAACTGACAGTTCTGTAGACAGAAGATTATTTGGAAAGGCAAGACAAACAACAAATACAAAGCTGGAGATGAAAGTCTTAGTACATATTCTTGCCAGCAAAACCTGCAGGAACAGCATGTATCAGGGTATCTGGATCTGCCTGTCCTTTTTTCATGGTTGAGCTCTGCTTCTCACTAACAGTTGTGGTTTATTTTTTAACATACAGCATTGAAAAATATTCAGGAAAACTTAAATTATATAATCTTAGAATATGTGACAGCTAGGCAGCAAATGATGACTTCTCCCTAGATTGTGACATTTAATTGTTTAAATGGTTTATCTTACTTTTTAAATAGAAGCACTTGACAGTCTTTTATCTAAAAAGTTACAGGTATAGAATAGGTTGAATGACTCTTTATTAAAAACATCTGAGCAATAATGTTAAGTGTGAATGGAAACAAAAAGCTTATTTTCTCAAACCTACTATTACCCTTGAAATATGTTGCAATCACGTTTATTTTCAGAATGGACTGAAGCAGTATTGTTTTGTGGTGTTCTTACTGGAGTGCTTCTTTGTTGCTGCTTTCATCTTCCTCATAATTCCTGAGACAAAAAACAAATCTTTTCTGGAAATCAAAAAGGAATTTCACAAGCTTAATTTTGGAAGAAATGCCAGGAAAAAGGAAACGGAGCTTTATGAAAGAAGACAACTTCAAGATGAATTTTTAAAGAATTCTGCATAATTTCACAAATGCAACAGAACTTGTGAGAATTATGAATGTAGTTTTCTAAATTAGGAGTGCAATACATGATCAAGTGGCTTATTAAATCTTCCTGTGTATTTAGAGGAAGGGTAACTAAAGGCAAGTTAGTACTGCTGAAATATTATTAACAACATATTGTATTATCCACAGAAAACTTGATGTTTAGCTGTAACCTGGTGCTGTAGGGATGCAGAAATGCCAGGGAGGAAGTTCAGTGAGCCCCTCTGGCAGATTTCTGCAGGTATTTCAGATATTTCACTCTTCTTGCATTTCAAATCTCTGTCTTCAGTTTGGATCATCGGGCACATCCAAATTCTTTGCTGAGTGTAACATTCTGAGCTCTTGTTAAAACCCACGCAAGAGCTGGTAACTTAGAACTGGTATTTGAATTATTCCAGTTTATGTAGAAATAGGGGTATTTAGTTTCTGGTTTTCCAATTATGTAACTTTGAAAGCCTTAAAGACATTACTCATCAAGTCCTGCTACTGTATTGTACAACAAAATACAGCACCTCTCTGAGTTACAGGTATTTGTAATAAAAGCTTTTATCCTGATAAAAGAGTTCCTGGGGTTTCAATTTGGTTTATTTTTTTCCCTAACCTAGCATCTTAACATTTTAAACTATGCAACAAAACAAAACTTCTTCTAGTTTTGGAGGTCAGTTCCCACCAGACTGAGATCTATATACCAAAAAGCATGAAGCAGCAGAGAGGACAGATGACAGGAATTAAATACTTTTTACCTTTAAACTACAGGGAGTCTGTAGGACATGCTGAATGAGCCTTCTGCCTGCTCTCCAGTATTTTTTCCTGGACTCATCTCAAAAGAAATTCTTCACATGTTAGGAAGTAAGAAATCCACCTCTGGTGTTTCTGTGCCTCTCTGACATTTGTTTGCATACCTGCCACTGCCAGGACAGTGGCCCACCTCACCCAGTACAACTTTTCCTGGCTGTAAGCATTTCCAAATGCCATCTCTTACTGCTGCAGCAAGCGTGGGATTTCTTTTACATTTATTTTCCTCCTCTTAGAATTAAAGCTTCTAATGGAAGTATAGGAAACAAACACCATTGGTCTGATTTTGATAACAAAACCATCTGTTTAATTGAAAATAACACTGACTCTTAATAGCAAAGGAGGCAACATCAGGAAGGGACCTTCTTGGCCTTTAGTTTATCCTCTAAGTTTGCAAAATACTTCATTTTTGCTAGCAGCTTCTTGGCTTCTTGAAGATCACCTAAAATGAAATAAAAACATTACTAGTTTACAGAGGGAGAGGTGAATTTACATTTTCAAAATGAATCTCAAGATTTCAGTGACAGCACCTGTTTTAGTACCAAGACTTGTTTAGCTGTAAAGACTCAGACACTATTAAAACCATGCTGCCTATTGTTTTAATCTGGGATGGTTTGGGATCTCTACTCAAGTGTTCCACAAAACATGTAACAATGAACAATTTGGAAAAGAAATGTGAATGAATACCCTTTAATGACCTATGTAAAATGGCTGCAGTATTGATCTACCTACTAGGCAAGACAAATGTTTGTTTTAAATGTGTAAAAATAGACCAACTGACATAACTGAACAATGCAAATCAGGAGGAGTCTGGTCTGGATAGTGCCAATTCCAAAACTGATAATGAAACAATTTCTCTTCAGTTAAAGAATTAGAGGGGGAGGGTAGTTTATGACCTGCTGACAAACACAGATGTAACACAGTCCTTCTTATGGCACAGAGTAACAGAATGTAACTCCTCACAGGCAGGCCCAGCCAGCGCTGCTTTGATGTTTACAGTTACACACACCCACCCCTGATAAACCTGCAGCATTCTGGACCTGGCACAGAGGAGAAACAGAGGTTTGTTCCCAGCTTCAGAAGCTCGGGAATGGTTCCAGCTTGTGCCTATGCATTGGTTGTAGAATAAAGTTATGGTTATATTGATTATTGCACAGGATGTCCCTGAAACCTTGGGCAGAACAGGTCTTTACTTGCCACGCAGCTTCTGTGGCTTTCACTGCAAAAAACAGCACTCACTGCTCTGCTATAGCCCCAGGACTGCAGAACAACATCTCCCAAATTCAAGTGTGAAACCTCAGAATATGTCAAAGATGAAGTCTGTCCTTCCCAGTATTCTGGGAAACACGCAAACAATTTCTTAGCATCCACATTCCCACTCAAAATGATTATTTTGATGAATGGAACTTTTGTACTGGACTTCATTTTTAACGTGAGGTCCTGAATTTCCCAAATCACCAAGAATGTCAGTTTAGAAGTACTTATTCTAAATACCTAACAAAGAACCCTTGTCAACGCAGTATTTCTGTTCCACAGCTCAGGAAATATTTGCTGATAAGAGAATGTGGAGTTTAAGCATTTGACAGGTATGTATAGCAGCTAAAAACTTCACAAAAACAGTTACCTCTTTCAAAAGCTGCAGCCACCTCTCTGGTCAGTTCTTCTTGTTTAACTGCAAAACAAAATATTTAATTTACTTTTTGTTATACTTTGGATATTTGATACCACTGCATTCTGACTGTCTGTGGGGGAAAGTTCATTACTAGTTTCAGCCTACGGGAGCCAAGCGAGTTTTTCACAATAATGCTGTCAATGTTGTTTTAATTATAATTTCAAACATGTATTTCTTTGTTTAAACAGGTATACTGACAGGAATTCTAATGGTTACTGATTTCCCAGCAATCTAACTTATTTTTGGTCTGTCGGTTTACCCTGCTACAGTTAATTTTCTCCTGTGCTACTCAGTTTTTATTCTAGTTATTCTAATTGCTTTTAGCACATGGTTGTTACTGCAAAGAATTAAATATATCAGTAAACCAAGTGTTTTTGGTATCACCAACAATATAATAAGGAAGTTGCTGGTGTAAGGAGAATAACCACTTAATATAATGGATATATATACCAGATGAAGAAGGTGAAATAACTACAATGCCTGTATAAATAACATTATTTAGTGTGGTTAGACAAGCATTTTATTCAACTTCATTCTGACAGCTTTTTTCTTTCGAACGATTGACTAGCCCTCACCTGATGAAGCTTGAGTAAATTCCTTTTTATTGTCTATATATATATTTCTTTTGACATCAGAATAGGTTCTGTTACACAAATGTTCTCAAGACAGATGTCATGTTTAGGTGCATAATTTGGTAAAGACAACACTGGAAAAGGGGGCACAGGCAGAAGCTCTTGCAGTAAGTAAATTCCAGACTAATTCAAATCAAAAACATGACAAGAAATATACCAAAGCAGTTAAAAGCTTTCAGACTCTTCTATTATACAAGATTCAGTATATTAGTTCTGTACAAATTCCTCAAATCATAACTTACCTTTTATTAAAGTTTCAATTTCTTCAAGGTTATCCTCATTTTTGGGCTCTGCTAATCTTTCATTAATTTCCATGATTTCCATAAGGAACGCTGAATCTGCATCACAGTCTGTCTCTTGTACTGGTTCCACTCCACTCAGCTCCAGCTGGCAGAGGAAATGGGAATTTGAAAATAAATATTCCCACATTTATTTCAATGGGAATTATTTTCTTTAATATTAAGTCTCTTATTGGGGCATACTCAGATTCATATCTGATAAACCTGCAGTGCATAGAGTCAGACTGAAAATTAACTCCATACATAGGCTGACCATAAAAATCAGCAGTTACCCAAAGCAAAAAAAAAAACATAAAAAAGGCTGCCCTGGGCCAGACAGAAATTCTAAATGAGCAGCCATGGCCAAATACCACGTGTGATGTGAAAGACAAATCAGTATAAGAGGAGTGGCAAATTAGATGATATGCTGATTAATTTTTAGACAAACTTGGTTCCAGTCTCCCTTCAGTGTCTGGTATCCTCTTCAGAGGAATGCAAATTAGCACATGAAGGACTGAATGGGAGGTGCGATCCCTAAGAGCAGCACCAGCCCCAGGGTTAGCTACAGGAACACTGCAATATTAACGGAGACCTTACTAGATAGAGGCCTCGGCTCAGAGGGTTCAGCAGGGTCTGGTAGGCCTTGTTGATCAGGGAAGAGTGTTGTTCAGAGTAGTACTGCTCTTTCTGCAAATGGACGGCAAATAATTGGAAGCTTATAACAAGTGGCAAAAACCGCTTTGTTACACGCGGAACAGCAGCGTCCCCACAGCAGTCCGTGTGTGAAACGGAGAAGGTTCTGTGGGCCTGGGAACTGTGTCAGTGCACTCAGCTACGGCCTGACGAACCGCAGCGCCCCTCATCGTCCACCTCCAACGCCAATCCAAGGGACAGTCTCTTCTGAGCACCGAAAGACAAACACAGGAGAATCCCCTCACTCCCCGAGCGGGAGAGATGTGGGGACTCGGCACTGAGACCCCACCACGCAGCCGAAGGCTAAAGGCGAGTTCCTCCGGCGGCCACCGAGCCCCGCGGGCCCCTCCCGGCCCGGCTCCCCCGCCCGGCCCGGCGCTCACCGGCGGCCTCTGGCCGAAGCGGTCGGGGTGGACGGCGCGCTGCAGGCTCCGGAACCGCCGCTGCAGCTGCCGCTCGTCGATGCGGAAGGAGCGGTCACTGCAGGACACAAGGCGGGTGAGACCCGCGGCCGGCCGGTCCCGCGGCCGCCCCGCCCACACTCACCAGTCCATCAGGCGAAAGAGGTCAGGCCGCGGTGCCGGCGGCTGCAGAGCCTGGCAGCCGGGGCAGAAGCGCGGCCCATCGCCGCCGGGGAGCGCAGCGCCGCAGCTCCAGCACGGCGGCCCCGGGGCGTGGCCCAGCACGGCGGCCCCGCGGAGCGCCCGGCGCGCCCACCCGAGCTGCGTCCGCAGCGCCGCCCGCATCGCGCACCGCTCCCGGCGGCCCCCGCGCGGGCCGCGCGCTCATTGGCTGCGCTCGGGGCGCGCGCGCGGCGCGCATGGCGGCCCCGGCCCGACGGCGCGAGTCCCGCGAGCCGTGAGTTCGGGTCCCGCTCTGGCCCGGCCGCTCCCTGCCCTCCCCTTTCCTGCCCTCCTCTCCCGCCCCGGGACAGGCTGCTCCTCGCTGCTTCTCCCGGGACGGGGCCGCAGCGCTCAGTGGGGACGGCGGGGCTGTTGGTACCGGTACCAGTCCGGGGCAGCAGTGTTCTGTCGGGTCGGGCTGGACCGGGCGCTCACTGCACGGGTGCCCGGCAGTGCCGCCCCTCAGCTCGGCCGCGCCGCTCCGCACCGTGTGAGGCGGCCGCTGGTGGCCCGACCCCTCCATCTGAGCCTTTCGAGGGAGGTTTAAGTTGGATACGAGGGAAAGCTTCTCTGCGGAAAGGGCTGCCCCGGTCAGAGGTGAGGTCACCATCCCTAGAGAGCTTCCATAGCTGTCTGGGTGTTGAACCGGGGACGGGGCCAGTGGTGGCATCGGCAGTGCCGGGGAGGCGGCTGGACTCGATGGCCTCTGTCTTTTCCAGCCCAGAGGGTTCCGTGATTCTGTTGTGTTTGCGGGCGCAGCCCTGGGCCTCGCCTATGAATTGTAGACCCGTAGCAAATGGGACGTGGGAGGAAACGCAGGAGCTCTTGTGGCTCTATGGCTCCTAATGAAGTAGAGCAAACCGGTAAGG